CGCCACTAAATTCAAGAATCAGGCTATGTTGAGCAATGTTCGAGATGAGTTGCATAACTTGGTGCAAGGGTCAAGGGAAAGACATGGTAACGCAATTGGCCATAGACTTTTTCATAAAAGGTCTAAGGCCTGACATTCGTAGAGCCATCCGCCGGCTACCGCAACCAAAATTGTTTCAAATGTTGAAGCAAGTCACATCATACGTTTCGTCTTGTAAATTATGTCAAATCCGCAAAGACCCATCCTCTTATAGGGTTTTCGAGCCCCTGGGAGCGTTTGAACTTTCAACAAAACCCTGGCAAAGAGTACACTCTGACTGTATAGGACCTCTTGCACTAACCTTCAAGGAAATAAATATATCATAGTTTTCGTAGATTCTTTTTCAAAATTTATTGTAGCAAAACCAGTACCAGATCAAAAAGCCACCACCACCTGTGAAGTTTTTCTTCAAAGATTGGTATCTCGATTTGGCCCGCCAAATCTTCTGGTAACTGATCAGGGGACAAATTATATAAGTGAGATCCTCAAAAATACTCTCAGATCCTTAAATATTCAACACAAGACCAGCACTCCATATCATCATCAAAGTAACGGTCAGGTTGAACGTGCAAATCGTACGCTGCAGGAGCTCATTTCAATTGCTACCTTTCAATACAAAGATAATTGGGATTCCGTTCTGTTTTTAATTACTCATGCTTACAACACCAGTGAAAATGCTGAAACAAAATATTCCCCATATTTTTTAATTCATGGCCAAGAGCCGAATAATCCATTCCGCTTAGCATTGCAACTTCCCACGAAACAATTTGTTAATGAGGATGACTATGTAGATAACCTCGTGTCAATGTTACAAAATGTATGGAAACAGGTTCATAAAAATCTTTCGGAAGCCCAAGAAATTCAGAAGCGTCATTATGAGCTTAGGAAGCGAGTAAATATTGCCGACTATAAAATCGGAGATAAAATCTTCATCCGAAAGGAAGTTGGATCGAAGATTTCACCGCGATTTGAAGGACCGTTTGAAATCTTAGAAATTAACCGACCCAATATTGTAGTTAAGGATGGAACTCGTCTTCGCACGATTCACGCGAATCGTACGAAGCTATATCGACCTTAAGTTTTTTTTTTCATTTTTCTTTTTCTTTTCAGGTTTATTTTTGGATGTTTGGATTTATTTTTGGAAGACTTTTTCTTTTCAATACCACTTTTTGTACACTCTTTTGGACGATACATTCTTTTTGGATATTGGATCATTTTTGCATTAGATCCATTAAGGCAACACCTTTTGAAGTAAACCGTTTGCCACTGTTTTGTGTATACATTATTGATTTTGTCTTTTATTGAGCAACAAAAAGAGATCATTCAAGATCCAACAAAAGATGCGCAAAAAGAGAAAAAAAAGTGTCTAGAAAAGGCTGCGCACGCCACGAAAAAAAAAAGAAAACAAAACAACACAAAGTCTAAACACTAGTCTCGAGAGCAGGAGCCGAAGGAACTGGGACGCTGGTCCTCTTGGCTACCTTTTTGGCCGGTGTGGTAATGGTACGTCCACAAGAGAAACGCAAGAAGCCCAAAAATAATCAGGGCAACTGAAACAAGTTTTCAACTTCTCTGAATTTAGTCTAATTTAAACTGCCGTAAACTTGTTGGTGATTAGTGCACTTGCGGCATCAATCATGCTGGTAGGTAGATCCTGCTACATCCTAAGCGTATTGCAGATTTGGGGTTTTCAGAAAGCTTTTGGGATTTCCTAGAAATTTTAGGAAAAAATGTAACAGAAATTATCCGACAACCTAATAATTTCGATTTGACATGCAATCTCGAAGCTCTATAACAATTCAAAGAACAGTTGTTTAGCTATAAAGTTTTGTAAATGGGTAGCATCATACCTCTATTATGACAAGCTCAACTTAGAGGTTTCCTTTGTCCTTGTATAGCTAAACCTCCAGTAATCACTATGACTTTCATAGTCTCGTTTTGAAGCTGTTGTAAGTGCACAGATGAGTAATTTGGTTGCTGGGTACGCACAACCTTTGACTATAAGACGAACCACAATTGAGATTATAAGCTGCTATTTGGAGGTTTATGTAGCCGAAAATGTGAAAATTTCTAAGCATTTGCTTGTGAAGGCTAATTTTTGAGTATTGCAGATCGCGTGAATTTGACCACCTATAGCTATGAAATGCCTTGAAATAACAAAATCGTATGTTGCGTACCAATCCTGCACTTTATAATTACTTTCAGTTTGTTTTTGAAGCGATTTTTCGAAAATTCAACTGAAAAATGTAACTTTTGTGCTTTCCTGACCATTTCTTCAAAATAATATCTGAGCAGAAAGTTAACAATCCAATTCTCCTTGAATTACTCTTTCCAAAGATATTACATAATTATCTGTGACACATAAATTATCTGTGACATTCCTACAAACCATTAAAAACGACCGAAACTATTTTCTAGTCAACCTAATATAATACTTTCAGCACTTCGTAGTGTTGTTGATCAGCGCCCGAAATTCTTTACAGATATTTACCACTAGATATCTTTAAATCTGTCTCTACCTCTATAGATACATCTTGTATCTGACTCTTGCCTCATGGAAATAGAATTCAAACGATTAACCATCTTATTATGTGCTACTGAATCATCTTCTCAGCAGATAATCGTCAATTGAATTATTTTTTCAGCAGTACTTAACATTCTCTTTTGATTACCGTATTCAGTAAGTCATACTTCTTTGCACAAACAATATATCGAGTCAAGGGAATATGACTGCAGGAGAAAATTAAGTATTCAAGCAGTTTTTATACCTCGCATCACAGAGAATCACTAAAAAGGATGACTTTGTAACAGGAGTAGCTTTTAACGGTCTTGAGAGGTTCCTATCTTGAGACTGGAAGACCAGCACATAGAGTAATAGAACAGCGATTATCCTTATTACAAAAACAGCAATACGGCCTTAAGGTCAATAATGGACAAGAACGTTGAACTATAAATTGATATTAAGGAAAATTTCCGAATCTGACCTTAGCAGGGTAAGACCATTCAGTACTTGGGCCCTCTCGGTCGCTACACGATCTGACCAGCACTTACTCCCGCAAGCCTCTTCTCTCGGCTTCCTCTTCCACATTTTTTCCTGGACCCTACGCGAGGCAAATCGGCCTTTTCTTTTCTCGCCATTTAAAATTGGTAAATCGCTAATTCTTGAAGTCCAACAAACATAACAAACATAAATTTGTGAACCCTTTTTTCCAGCAATCAGTGATGTTTTTTATCAGAAACAGCAAACATATTATTGTGAGCGGTCTACTCGAAAACACCAGCCTGAGTCAAACTAACGAGTAGTATTCATACGAATTACTAACCTTGTTGTTCTCAGAATCGTATCGTTCGTGAAAACAGCAGTTAGTATTAGTACTTCCCTGCTTATGAGTGTGAGTCTCAAATAGTATGAATGTATTATAGAATGAAGACTTTGGTATTTGAATGTCTGGACTCACTTTTCTAAGCTTGATATGCTATATTCGCATATATACCGTAGCGTATATGAAAAACAAACCAACATATTTATTAAGCGACTGAATTTTTACGTAGATATCTTGGTTATTTCGCTATAAGTGGCGGCAAGAAAATAATGTAAAAATTAGATTGAACTCGGGCTAAAGTAAAAAATGATCCCGAGAATGCTTATATATATAACATTGTCATTCCTTCTATGCACTACCGTATGATGAGGAATCGCTTAGACATCTTCCAAAGCTGTGACCTTCTACTTTATTTATTTATTATTTATTTATTCATACTCAACGGTCTACAATGATGATTTCGAATAAAGCTTCGTTAGTTGTAGATGTAGACGTACTTTGAGATATCGCTCTAGTGATGAAGATCCATGACTTCTTTTTGCCAGCTGCAAGCTCCAAAGGCTGGGAGTTCGGTCTGGGTTCGTGGATCCGTCTTTGACTTCCGTGCAAGGATGCTGACAATTTATTAGCAATTATAAGAGAGACAAACCCCACGCAATAATTACATTAATATTTTATTCCTAGAAACATCTGTAAAGCGAAATTCGTTGTGGTAGATCACAGCTCACTTCTGTTTTCATTCTTCCGGCGAGTGGTCAGCTAGTTTTTAGGATCGGTAGGATCACCGATGGACCAGACACGGTTCCTACCGGACACTCCTTCTCTTCTATTCCTGATCATAGGAATAGGTCAGAGCCAAAAACTAGCTGACCACTCGCCGGAAGAATGAAAACAGAAGTGAGCTGTGATCTACCGCAACGAATTTCGCTTTACAGATGTTTCTAGGAATAAAATATTATTGTAATTATTGCGTGGGGTTCGTCTCTCTTAAATTGCTAATAAATTGTCAGCATTCTGACATGCAATGAATTTTTTTTGAACTGTTCTAGGCTTGCAATCTATACATTTGCTGAAAAGAATTTGTACGCTTCAATGCTTCCATTAAGACCAAAATTCACATCACTGCAAAAAACATTTTCTACTGTATACGTCTAATTTACTCCGGAGTTTTGACCTTAATCATTTAGGTATTCACAAGTACAACCCTTTTCGAACGAAAGTGAACAGACATATAAAAACCTTTAGAAATTAACACTAAATATTAGGTGTTATTCTAGAAGATCTATTTCTTTGTCAAGTTTATTGACAATTTTATTGCTTACAGCATTTGTTTAGTTCATTGAAAGTGTTAAAAGTTTTTGCTCCTGTATACTGATCCTACTTGTTGGATACTTCACGAAATCTCTTCATAGTGACTTTTCTTGCTTATAAGACTTTTCTCGCAAAATTTACCAGTGTATGCCGTTGCGAAAACAATATAATTACCCTAAATTCAATTCCTCTGTTGTAGATTGCGTGCATAATCGAAAGCATTGAGAAAATGAAGTGATATGGCTGATTTCCTTGACGCTTACTGAACGAACAAAGCTGGAACTTATTATCATAATTTACATATTAACTGTCTTATAATCCGAGGATATGGATGAAGGTGGGATTTTTGGGTAGCCACTGCAAACGCAATTATTCTTTATTTACAGAAAGAACCCCTTTGAGTGATATTATTGTTGGATGTTCTTTGATGGCAATCTCTGCCGCATGTGGCATCGCATACTCAATTATTTTAACGGTTAGTTTTTACCTTAGCAGATCTCTCAATAAGTTTTGAGCTACAATCGGTAGAAAATCTTTTTCAGACAATATGGAAAGATGGTGAACTTATGAAAATGATTTCGTACAAATTCATGTTTGTGCTGGGGATTTTCGATGTGATCCAGTGCTTTCCTCACTTTATGACCGGAATATTTACCGTATATCGACAGTCCTATAGTCCTGGCCTAGCCAAGGTGACAGCTACGCTGACTAGCCTTTGCACAGTAAGCATCTTTTTTCAGGCCATGGGTGTCTTAGCCACACCGGCTTATGTGGCTTATACAGTCCTTACCGTATTTCTGGCTTTCAGCAGATTTGTGCAACTATATTCGTCTAGGTTAGATGAAATGCTATTTGGCGGGTCTGCACTACGAGTAAGTCATTCACGATTTCTCATCTCTTCTTATCACTCGAAAAGCTTCAGGTCTGGATAGCTATTGCATTAGCCGCTTGGTTTTTATTTGCATTGGCCCTCGCATCTCCTTGGGCTTCAATCATTTATCTGCCTGACTAGTAAGTAAGAGCATTGAGGTCTGTTGCTTTCGTTTCTATCTAATTCGTGAATTTTAGCTATTCTTGGGATTATGATTATGATTTACGCTTTTCTCTATATGTGCAAAAAACTGAAATGGTTATTGAGCTTAGCACAATTTTGATTTCTGCAGTTTTCTATTTACTTGTAATTATCGCCTTATATAGAACAGTTAGTTTTGCACTAAGATGTTTTTTCTCACTCTTTAGCCAATAGCTTCCAGCGAAAGCGATTTGCCACACAGTCAAATGCGAAAGCCGAAATCAAGATACTCATCCAAGCGTTGGTCATCACCGTCTATTGCACAGTCCTCAACTTTCTCTGGCATAATTATCAGGTGAGACTTAAATTATGTTGCTTTTCAAAGACAATCAAAGTCAGCACAGTGCTTTGAAAACTATTGTCTCAGTTGGTCCTTCCGTCGAACCTTTGGTCTTACACAGCTCTAAACTTTATGTGGGTTGCAAATGCTGGAGTGTACCCTTTGATTTATTTCATTGTCAACAGGTAGTGTCCAAGATGACCGCATGTCCATATCCTTCCCAAAAACAACTTTGCAGAGCAATACGAGACAGAATCGCAGTTCGAAAGTCAGCAATACCTACCGTAAGCATCTTCACACGAGTGGTAAAGAGCGGTCACAGTAAGAATTGTAAATTATTTTGGACGGTTGTCGTAGAAAAGCCAGTCAAACTTCAATTCAGGAAGTTCAACAAATCTTGTTGAAGTCACTCCTCCTAAATGCAAGATTATCCGAACTCATTTCAATGGAGAAACACACATTGGATCAACAGTCAAAAGTAATCGTAAAGTGAAATTTGTTAGCTGAAAATTCTAGGCTCCGATCATATTGTTGACGGGTAGTTTAATAATAAATGTGCTCCAACTTCGTTGTATTCAACTTGGCATCTTTAAATTGACAGCTGTAGGTGAATAAGTAAACAACGGTTCCTTTTGTGTTACATGCGGCCGGGGAGGGGGGGAGGGGGGGACAGATTCTCGCCATGCATGTTGGATCGGCGGAAAAGCTCCCCATATTGCGAAGAAGCTCCTTCAAGAAAAGTTATTTATTTATTAATTTCATACACGTAAACGTGTGCCAAAGCCTGGGCGAGTGACGAAAACATTGCTAGAGTAAAAAACTAGCCTGTCACCTTTCACCAGAACAAACAAATAGCGAATAAGGGCCTGGATGTTGAGGAAGAAAAATTTCTATTTGGTCAAGGGAGGTCAGGTGATTGGCATCGGGGAATGCCACTGCCACTTTTCCGGGCTGTTTAAAACGTCTGCGATTGGTTCCTGCCAGGTATCCACCAACCTGACACCACCGACGCTTGGATACACCTGCCTTATTCTAAGAAAGCCATGCATGAAATGCAGCTGTCTACGGTCCGAAGGCACAATGCTGTTGCCCAGTCCGAAAGTGGGTGGCAGGCCAGCACAGCATGGTTAGTAAACAGATAGTCGAGAAACACGAACACAACATATCGAAGAAAAAAACATAAAATCGTGAAACGACGTAGTAGAAAGGAGCTCCACGAAAGCGGCTGTCGTAATAGCGATGTGGGGAAAGCAGAGTCCAAAAACACAAGAGTCGACAAGCGAGGGCCAGCAAGAACTAGACCAGAAACAGGAAAACCAGTAATGAAACCAGACCAGAGACAATCACAGAGAAATGCTCAATAATTGGCAAACGTCAACTTTCCTCAGTTTCCTTTTGAAAGCTTCACAGTACACCGTAACCGTCTAGCTCCCCGACAAAAATTATGATTGAATAACAGGTTGGCATGTTTCCTCTCAACTTTTGGGTAATGCAAGTTAAAACCACCGTGTCTATTGTAAGCAGGCATAAAGATCCAGTAATCGCTGGGAATCAATTTGACTTCACGTTTCAGAACTCTGAAGCAAAACAAGAAGTCAGATTTAGCTCTTCTGCAAACAAGAGATTCGAGTCCAAGCTTCTTCAAGCGGTCATGATAACTCAGAGCGGAACAATCGCGGATACATCTCCTCATCACAATTCTAGTAAAAACTCTCTGAACTCTTTCAAACTTTTAATATGTTTAGCTTTACTCGGACTCCAGAGTTGTGAGCAGTACTCAAGTTTAGTAAAACAAAAGATTTATAAAGTCGTAACATAATCGTTGGATTATCCGTGTGGACATTTCGAAGTATCCGGAAGGCCGAGCCAAAAGCCCTGGTAACAGTCTCATTAATATGCTCGGTAAAATCCAGAGACTCATTGAAATGAACACCCAAATCGTAGATGAAACTGTTCTGTCTCAAGCCCACACCATTCAACTTGTACGTCTGCTTTTGGCCACCGCCTAGGTGCAGAAGAGGATTTTTCAAAGTTGATCGGTAAGCGCCAAGCAGAGGCCCAATCTGCAAGTCTACGTACAGTCTACATGCTTGCAGAGCGGATCTTACCTCCTGAGAGTTCTCATCCCCATAAATCCCATAGATCTTTATATCATCAGCGTACAACTTGACTTTAATGTGCGTGGACTTGATGATAGCACTTGGCACATCAATTGTATGAAGCAGAAACAAAAGTGGGGAGAGGACACCCTCCTCCCCCTGAGGTACTCCACTGGTGCATATGTGCCTTTGCGAGTGGCAATGACCAACTCTAACCGTCAGATGTCTGTCAGCTAGGTACGAGGCAATCCAATCCAATAGTTTGCCATCTATACCCAAATACTTTAGTTTACTCAGAAGTTTTCCGTGGCTAACTTTATCAAACGCCTTTGATAGGTCAACATAAATAACATCAATAAATTTTCCCTTGTTCAATGCCAAAGCCCAATCAAATAAACTATCCGTTAAATTAGTAGTGGTAGACGCCCCGGCAATGAAACCATGCTGTTCTATAGGAATAACGTGAACCTACTGAGCCATGATAGCAGTCTGGCCCTTATGATTTTTTCCATTACTTTTAATGGTGTAGGCAATAAACTGATAGGACGATAGCTGCTTATCTGGTTTGTACCGGAAACTTTTGGAATAGCCGTCACAATGGCTTCTTTTCAACACTGAGGCACCTCACTTAAGAGCATCGATATATTGAATACATGGGCAAGCGGTGCAGCCAGAGCAGATGCACATTTTCTATAAATGATCTGCGGTATTCCATCATAGGTTTCAGTTATGGACTGTCTGAGAGCTTTCAAAATAGTGTAAACTTCAGAAGGATGAAAGAAAACATCACTCAAGTGATGTGGAACAGGACACAATTCATGCAAAGGAGTGTTTTCATTGAAACTATCTGATGTGGAACAGGACACAATTCATGCAAAGGGGTGTTTTCATTGAAACTATCACTAGTAAAAACATTCGAGAAATAATTGGCTGAAGCATTTGCTTTATCAAGGTCAGAGACAAAAGTTGCACCGGAATCGTTCATCAAAATGGGAGCTTACCATTGGCTTTCATTTTATATCGTATATAGGAGTTCATAGGTTTCACGTTATTCCTAGCAGTTAGTTTACGCTCCCGGCAGGCAAGGTATTTTCTCATGTGAGCTTCAATGTCCCGACAGACTTTCTTATACAACGAGTTTTCAAGCGGATACTGTAGCTCATGGAAAAGTCTGCTTCTGCATGTTGTTATGCATACTTTCTTTGATTCATGCTGTTCAGCGTGATAAAAAACAAGATCCGGGTGGGCTTTCTAGGTTTTTTCCATGCAATTCCCTCTGATTCCGCCAAAACTCAACGGAGTCTCCCATAACCTTTATGGAGGCTATCGCCTTTTCGGCTGCTTTACATGTATCGTAAGAGACTGAACCTACAAATCAGAAAACAAACACAAACCGTCGAGATTTCTATCGTTCAACGAAACTTCGGTCGTCTTAACAATATATGTAGAACGGAAGGAAGGGATGCAAGGAGGAAATGCCAATTATGTACAGGTAAAGGAGCAAAAAACAGCGAAAAATAGGAAAGGAACCGGAATGCTCAAGACGCACAAGAGATCGGCATTAGGGCTCCAAATTTAACAAAACCCTCTGATGGATTGAAGGAAAACCTCGCAGTGTAGTGCACAGCTACTGCACAGCTCACAAGTAAGAGACCCAGTTGCCGCACAGTGAGTCCCAGATAATTCTGCTAATCATGAGTAGCACAGTAAGATCTTTTAGAAGTTGACGCAGCTTTGAATTGGCTCCAAGAGTAAAACAACCGCTCCATGAAGACATGCAAGCCAAGGAAGGGTACCAGCATAAAAATTGGGAGAGAGATTTTAAGGTTGACGTGGGAACTCTGGAGATATGGGATCGAGTCAGAGTCTATAACACAGAAACATGAAAGAAAGTAGGAAAAATTTGGAGCAGAGAATTGAGGACATCCTGACAAGAATATTGTGGAAAAAGATCTTTCCTAGAACCTGAAATGTGGACTAAGGCGAGATTGACAGATTCATGAGAGGGTACCAGTCTGGTACCCTCTCATGAATCTGTCAATATACCAATATATCAATCAATATATCAATCATACCCTCGATACATAGAGCCACGTACTCTGATAACCTTCACTTTGAGGGCTATGAGGGGACACAACCTTCACCTGAAAAAAAAAACAGAAGTCATCCGGGGCTTTGCCCTGAATATTATTATCCTGACTATATCGGAACGTATATGAATGAAGCAAATATAGGGAATAGTATCTTCAGCTTTCAGCAAAACCGAGAATTTGCATTTTCATGGCTTTTTTTACGTTGAAAAGAAGGTTTCTATGAAATTTTCGCTAGAATTCAAAACAACATTCTTCAGTCAACTTCCTATTTGACCAAGATCGAGTTTCAGGAGTTTAGGAAAGCTATTGGAGTTGAATAAAAACGAGAAACTGCGCTTAATTCTCGCGCGGTAAATCGCGCATGAAAATGCTGGTCTATCTCGTTAATGAGTGATTCTTAAAGCTTGTGACGTTGTCATTTCTCCTCGTCGTGTCATGACGATCAGAATGATATATAATGTTGCAGCGTTTCATTGAGACCCCGCGGAGATCTACGACCAGAGCCAAATGCTCCGTCGGCTCTGGTCTGTCTCCGCTGCTCGTCTGCGTCTCCGCGCGCTGCACGCTACCTCGCTACCCCAAATGCGGGGCGCGGGAAATTTGGCTCTGATATCCTTTTCTTGGCTGTTTCGAACCCAAGTTTAGCAAGCTAACCATTTTGAAGCTCTTGATCTCTGTTTTCACGCTGACAACGCCCAAGACCACATTTTTTGATTTGATCAAGAAATCCGGCAAAAACCTTGTTTTCGAAAATCTCTTGTTTTTCTCCTAGTTTAACTCTTTTCACGCGGCTTTTTCGTGCATTCTATAGATCTTGCTTCTTTCATAATGCAGACAACCACTCAGCTCTTACCTCTTCGATTATGGAAATTTTCGCAAAAATCGTAAAAAGTGCGTTTTTCTTTACCTTGTTCTATTTCAGTGCTTTCGCATGGATTTTCTTCCAGCTTGGGCGATTGTTGCTCAGAGCAATAAGCGCAACAATCTAGACAACATCCCAGGAAACAGGAACGTCAATGCGGGGGTAAAAAATTAAAGGACGCATCAAAAATCAAAACCCCGCGTTGCGAATTGCTAGTCCTGGAGCGAAAACTTGCATCTGAAAAGCCGCCAAATGAAAATTTCAAACCTTATTGCAGCGTTTTTATCCGGTTTTCAGCAGTTTATTTGCTTTTTAAATCTGTTTTATCTCTTCTCTGATCTTCTTCAAACAATCTTCACTATTTATGACGTCAGATGTTTAAACAACCTTCACTTTTGGCGCCCTATCTCTAGACTATCGAAGGTATGGTACCAGAGGAGGGAATCTGCCGTG